ACCAATCTACCGGGCTGTGTACGTTTTTCCATAATGTGTCAATGTTGGTGCCGGTATCAGGCCGGTATGGTACATGTCGTTCGTTACCTCCAAGCCGGCTCAAAATGATCAAACCTTAGTCAAAACGTTTTCATGAGCCAACACATGGCATGCCGTTTTTTTGTACGTCATCTCTGTTCGTCCTCACAGAACTGGCTGTGCGCTCAGGAGCATGCTTCGGGTCGGCGGTGCAGCGTACGAAAGCCCTTCAGATTCAGGTGGCTCAACATCAACCGGGGAAAAGCGCTGACACCAATGGCATCGTGGAAGAGTATGGCCTTCCGTTCGACATCCAACCGCTGCAGGAGGACCCCACGGCGACAGTGCGCAGAACGCACCCCTTGGGGAGCAATGCCGGGCCTTACTACGGGCCTGACGCCCTGCACGACTGCAACCACGGGGATGACTGCCGCCAAAAGTACGGTGGGATAGACTCATGCGCCCAGCTCTCGGGGGTCAACCTCAACGCGCACGAGCAGAACCATGCGAAGAAGAAAAATTTTCTGCACATGTTGAATGTCATGAAATTTGACCGCTTTGCGTTCATGGTAACTCTGATCAACGAGACCGAGAATGAGGCAATAAACCGCAAATCGGTGGCAAACATGGTCAAGCGTGTTCGAGGCCATGGCTCGGAACGAGTAGAGATTTGCCAGGCTCAGGTTTGGTTCTGCGGCAGATGCTTCTGCCAGAAGTCTCGAATGCGATCATTCGACCAGTTCGGCCGGGTCCGGCTGACCTTTGTTAAGCCATAGCCATACTTTTGGGGGGGCTCGGATGTTGTTGTACGATGTCTCGGATGCTTTGTGGTACGGTGTCCGCTTGAGCTGAACCGCTTGCGCCATTACGTCATTTCGCCCGGTTCGCAGTGGTGGGTAGAGTTAATTTTTTTTTGTAGTCTTTCGGCTGATGGTGTGTCGAGGCTGGTGGTAGGAGTATTCGGCTCCGCGTTTTGGGGGATAGATACGTTTGGTTTTTCTTGAGGGGAATTCATTGGTTTCGCTACACGATAGGGTTGCTTCAAGAACTATTTCCGAGCCCACCGACGTTCCGTTTGTCAGCCTTTCACACCACTTCCAGTACTATCGACTGCTCGCTGTTTTTTGTGTTTCCAAGAGCGCGATGTATCTTTTGCCTTCGAGCCTTGGCTTGAAAGATGCGTATCCAAGGACAACCAGACCTGTTCCCAAATGTGAAAGTAACGAATTGTCGAAGAACCGTTTTTGATCCTATATCGAAAACAAGGCAGACCTACCTACCATTGGGTTCAGCTCATTGCGTTCCATCCGGATGAGGGTAGAAATTATTTTGTGTTCTGTCCAAGAAAGTTGTCTGGTGCCCACTTGGCCACTTGCCCACTTGGCCACTTGGCAATAATTTTCAGGTTGCGTTTTGGCATTCAATACCATTTCGTCCTGGACTTGTGGTACGTACATGCCGTTTCGAGATACCGTCATGGTCGGAGAGATGGCACCGGGTGCGATCGTTTTTTTAAATGTTCTTCCTTGAGTTTTTATCGCGCCCCGGTGCCATGTCTCCGACCCCGGTGCGGGAATGCAATTAGATCTTTTTGATTACATTTTCAAGGCACCCCGGTGCGATCTCTCCGACCGGTGCGATCTCCGATGAAATACACACAGGTGTTGTATGAGTGGGAGCATACCGGTAACGGCAACGTAGGCTGGTACGTAACAGCTTTCCATACAGCGAGTGGTGTCGTGTTTGATGCGAGTTTGGCTATAGAGTGACGACAAGAAAGGATGTCGTTTCCATCTGAGGTACTGGTACATACGGCATCAGTTGTCTTCCGCTTTCGTTTCGGTGTTCCTCTACGGATACCAGTACGTACGAAGCAACGTACGAAGCAACAATAGCTTCGTGTTGTGTAAGGTGGGGTAGGATGTGGCTTGTACGTTGTGTGTCTAGTTGAGAGTATACGGTTGGCAACTTCCATACCAATTCAAATATGAAATCAACTGGCATCCCGTGTGAACCGCGACCATGCATACGTACATGCAGGGGTGGCGCTCCGCTGACACCATCCCCACATGTATAAGGAACACACATGTACCTCACTCCGGCAGCTGAAAATGAGCTCAATCTTTGGGTTTGGCGGTCGGTGTGCGATCTCACTGACCCCGGTGCGTAAATGGATGTAAATCGTGCCGTTCTCGTATTTTTTTAGCAACCCCGTGCCATCTCCCCGACCGGTGCCACCTCTCAGACCGGTCCTATCTCTCCGACTATTACGGTATATATTAAAGCTATGTTGTTTTCTTTCCGCGTTCACCCCTTCTAAACCAAAGCTTAACAAGCAGGCTATCGGCGAGACTATGTCGGCTCCTCTCTCCCCTCCTGCAACTCCCCCTTCAACCAACTTCCCCTTCAACCTACATGAAGTCTACAAGTAAGTATGCTTCAGACAACGTGGCGACGACTCGCTCAAACCTGGTGTATAATATCTCCTCAATATACCCTGCGCAAAAACTTTGGGTTTTTCTCGATAGTTTGACATGGGAAGGTGTTGAATCTAGTATCTGCCATTTGCAACCTACATGGGAGCAGATCATCTGCGATGTGTGCCTGTAAATGCAGCAGCCTACCCGCCTGGACCGATTTCCAAACATCAATTACTCCACGAAGAGAATGCGTGCATGAAACGACTGTTTCAGAAGGCTCTTGACAGAGCGGCTTCAACGCCGCCGTTTCCGGCGCTGCCACGCTTCTGCTGTGAAAGAATGGAGCTTGGAAAATCGGTCGAGGGGGTGTGATATCTTGTGTCATACCTTGTTTAGGTGTAGCCTGAGCCGGAAATGGGTAGGCTTTCGACGCCTTATAGGGTGGCTGTGGGGGATTGGGGGAAACATGCTTCTTCAGACGTCGTATGGGTTGTTGTGCAGTGTTGTGCCTGGTTGGACGTTGGCAAGCTATCAATCTGGAAGCAGATGGCAGCGGCAGATCTGGATGCTGATGCGCCTACCTCTAGCGTTGCGGGGCAATCGGTTGTTTCTTTCGTGTACAGCCAGCGCAGAAAGCGGTTCCGGTCATCTCGAAGCTGTGCAAAGGCCTAGACCTACAGCACCTAGACTCAGCTAGATATTCCACTCGCTCTTCGTACAGCAGCAGTACACGCCCTACCGAACGGCCGGCAGCCCGGTAGCGCGCACATACAAATCGGTGCCCCCGACAACAGTCTACATTGTAGACTAATTGATTGCTTTCGGCGGTCCTGACATGTTTTTCTAGCAGCATTCTTCTCCTCCCCTACACACCATGAGTCCCCTGTGCGCGCAGGAACATACTCCACTGAACATACGAGCAGGCGGGCTCTGCAAGCCTGCACAGCTCGGGCTTCAGTGTGCAAGCTAGCAGAGCTGAGCTAGCCGAGTACCACCTCCAAACCGTCAAGAACCGCGTGCGCGCGCGCCCAAAAAGTACGGCATGCTTTCCGAACCTTCCGGAAACCCTACCCCCGAACCCCCTAAAGATCCTTTCGCACGATTGGTAATCCGACCTCCTACGGTTCTTGCGGCATAATAGCTGCCGGTTCGCAGAACTTGAGCGAGAGAGACCAGAGACTGGCGAGAGCGCACGATGGACGGGCGTATGTGCGCCGGTGCAGAGGCGTTTGTTGGTACCGGACGGCGCCATAGGGGAGTGAACTTGGGAGGAAAATATGGGTGTCGCCATGTCCCTAGAGGAGCTTGGTGCTCTAAGCGTTGTGGAACTCGCAGATTTAGCGCCCCCGGAGTACCGTCAGGCGTCCATCGATTTTGGCATCGATGGACACATGCTGACGAGTCTGCCTTTAGATCAACTCAGCGATGCCCTAGGTCGTGCAGGGGTGGACGATAAGCAGCATTTGGTCTACCTGCTGGAGGAAATCGAAAACGTGAGAGAGCTGTGACGGATACCGACGAACCCGACAACGTCACACGGAACGAAGGCCCATCGGTTGCGTTGCTCATCGAACAGCGATCGTCACATGATATGTATTCGCACTCGCACACGCTAGGTGTGCAGTTGTGCAAAATGGTTTCAACACTCCTTTGAAAATACAGCCCTCCTTCCGATCTACGGAATCATAATTCGTAGCCCTCTTCAACTTGACGTGTTCTCGCCATCACCCCGATGTTTTCGATTAACCAGATTCGATGCCCGAGGATCGACCCAAGCAAGCTAGATCGCGAAAATCTTCGGGCGATTCTCGAAAGATCTGATTCCAATGACCGCGAAGAACTTTCGGGCAGGTCGGAGTGGAGCGGCGTTTCAGTGGACAGTGATGACAGAATCATCGTGCTCAACGTTACCAACAGGACCCTCTCGGGAGAGCTGCCAGCCGCGCTCTTCGAGATATCGAACCTCGAGTACCTACACGCCACCTCGAACCTCTTCACCGGTGAGAGAGCCCATCAAATACGCCGGAAAAAACAAAATATCGCAGTAGGATATCCGTTTCGTTCTTTCGGGAAGGTGATGTATAGCAACCTAGACTGTTACTGTAGGTAAAGGGCTAGCAGTTGAAAGGCCCTGGGATTGGTTCATCCCTAGCGCACCGCAGATATGCTCTCTTTCTGCCCCAGGCGTACACTGCAATCGGAAAGAGCAGACTTTGGTGCACGCTGCAGTTGATGACGCTGCTAATGGTCCCGACGCTGTCTCGAGGATCGCAAAGACAGCAGCGGCTTTAGGGGTAGGAGAAATTCGAGGAATGGGCCCCTTGATGCATGTGGAATAGTTCGCGTGTGGCTACAGGAGCTTTCGTTTGAAAGTCGATCACTACGATCACTACACCACACCCCCGCATCCTGTCTCAGACATATCCCGTGCTTGCCCTTCTCGTGCCTCTTCTTGGGGGGAAATTTATGGATCTCTCCTTGTACAAAACTTCCCGTAGGCGCCATCCCCGACACCATCGGTGGTCTCAAACGGTTGGTCTCACTCAAGCTCGACCACAACAGCTTGACGGGACGAATACCGGGCTCGTTGACCCGCCTCACCAGTCTAACAGCTCTCGATTTTGCATGGAACAAGCTGACAGGAACAATCCCGATGAAGATCGGCACCATGACCTCCCTCCGCAAGCTTAGCCTAGGCGCAAACAAGGCAAGGCGCTGGATCTCGTCCCCGTTGCCGACAGCTTGAACAGGAGTAGGTTATTCTCATCGGCAAAGGGAGCAATAGTCTTCGTTCCTTCATAGTTCCGACTTCATCCCGGGCTACCTCTCGTATGTCCACCCATGTAGTAGGGCCGCAATTGAGGAACCCCACATGTAGCTGTTGGTCTCCCTCATACCGATACCTTCCGACTGTTAGGGCAACCACACGTAGCGTAGCCGGTGGATAACTTCGTCCCTCAACGCCCCTCTGTCGTTGGTAACCTGCGCGGGGTAATATTAGCTGAACGGTGCAATCCCCAGAGAGCTGGCTTCGCTGCACTTCCTCGTCGAGCTGCGCTTACGAGAGAACAGGCTTGCGGGAAAAATTCCACCGATGTTGGGGAACATGCAGTCACTCCAGGTACACGGATTCGAGCGAGTGCTCTATCGAACGTATACTCTCTCGACAACGCTCACACGACGACCAAGCTCGTTGAGCAGAATGACAATTGCAGAATCAATGACTCAAGGCATGCCAAGACCAACCTCTAGTCGCGGCCGTCCTACGTGCAGTAGCACCCGAAAAACAACGCAAACCGTCGAAGGCATCGTCGCTGGCCGACTCATACTGACACGCGTGCCCCTATGCAGGGTACGGTTTCAGCCGCAATGTCGCATTCACTCTCTTCTATGCTCTGCTAGCGACTCATGTCATTATCAACGATAAGTCCCCCAACCCCGGCGGGTGGTCAATGGTCTACCCGCTAAGGCATACAAAACATGAGTACGCCCCCCCCAGTAACGTCTGGTCGTCGGGAATACAGGTGCTCGACTTGACCTCGAATGTCCTTCAAGGTCATATTCCCGAGAGCCTGGGTGAGATGACCAATCTTCGGGAGCTGTGGCTGGGGTACGTGTGTTCGTAAACTAACGGCTGGCATTCAGTCTTATAGCGATTTTAGTTTTGTTGGGCGTGCGCATTGTTTGGGTCGACCAAGTATCGTGCCTCTACTAGCAGGACTCCTGCGAAGGAGGAAGATTTGGTTAGACGTATCATGACCATTGTTTGCTGGAAGACACTATCACCACCACCACCACCACCACCATCGCCGTCACAGCAGCAACAACAACACTAGCAGCAATGGCGACGTCGCGACCACCACCAGGAAAACGAAATATCAAGCACTTACGCAATGCAACCACACGTAGCCGGTGGTACGGTGATTTGCTGCATGTGGTTGCACTTGCCTGGCTCTTGAACATAGCGATGCTGAAGCAAATGCCTCGTTCCATCTACGTTTTGCTGTCGTCTCCGTTGTTTTACAGAGATAACCGAGTTGTCGGAGGTATTCCCGAGCCTCTGAGCAAATTGGAAGACCTGCAAAGTCTTGATTTGTCACGCAACAAGGTAAGTTTGTTCTCGACAATTGGGGAAAGCTGACTATGCAGGCGCTTTGTAATCAAAATGAATACGAGAAGGCAATTTGCAGAGCATGGCTTTGAGCATTCTCAATCTCGTGCAGCACTCGGAACACAAATTTTCCAGCTGCGAGACGATCCAGATGTGATTGCTGCACACAACCTATAACACATTCAATGCCACAAACTCGTCACCCTCTTCGTCGGTTCGGCGCCAAGGACAACATACTGATGCCGTAAATACCCGACCCTTTTTTCTAGCTCGCAGGGAAGATACACCCTCATGTTTTGAGCGCGCTCTCTTCATCTTTGGTGTACCTCAATCTCGGCCACAACGCCTTCGAAGGGGACCTCCCGGTTTCCCCCCTTTCTCCTCACTCTGCGGGAGGTAGGGTGCGGAGAGGATCAACCTCCGGCTCTCCATCTGAAGGACAAGGAAGGAGCAGCAGGAGGAGAAGGAGTGAGTCCGCGGCAGGGGTTGTGTCTGCTTCTCCACTCTCCTACTTGAACCTTTGCCACAACAAGTTCACTGGGCGTGTTTCCGAGGAAATAGGAAGCCTCACCTCTCTGGAGACCCTGGATTTGTCTCACAATAAGCTTGAAGGCGGCCTTCCACCCGACATTAGGAGCTGCATCTCCCTGAGGGTACTGTCCTTGTCTCGGTGTGGCCTCTCCGGGATCCTGGAAGGAGACGACGGAGGGGGGCTGGGAAGGCTGAGCTCGTTGGAAACTCTGCGACTCGATGGAAACACTTTTCACGGGATTGTACCTGCGGCGCTCGGCAACTTGGCGCACCTCGAAGTTCTTCAGCTACAGGTTTGCTTGTGTACTGAGGTTTAGCTGTCACACAACAAACAGAGTAATCGCTGGGGTTCCATTGTTGGTGGCATAGAGGAAAGGCTTCACGCTCATTTTAACTATAGCCCAATATGACGACTCGTCTCTTCGTTATTCCTGCGGTACGCTGTTGCTTCCTTTTCGGTATTCTCCCAAGTGTAATTGTTTCAGCGGGTATCTGCCTTCGACGCTAGGGCAGCTGGATCGGTTGTGGGCACTCACAGTTCGGGACAACAATCTCTCGGGCAGGGTATGTACCCAGAATTGTTCAGCAGACGCTTTTCTTTTTCAAGAACACGGGGTGGAGCATGCCGTAGTAGACTGCAGTACTAGCGCTTCTTCCTGTTCCTTGGAAACTGGCCTTACAGTGGGCAGTCGGCACCCGGGAAAAGCGGACGCGCACGAGATAAATTCTATAACATTTTCCTGTTTTGAATCGGTGTTCGTCGTCTTTGTTCACATTCACACGTCAAAAGCTGTGCTACTCGTGCTTTTCTTCTATAGAGTCTCTTGACTGCTCGAACTCAGAGCTGTCATAGCATCTCCAAGCTGTCGTAGGATCTCCAAATCCTGCGACCACACCTGTGGGCGTTCAATGTCAACATCCAACCGCATTCTCCCTCAGGTCCCCGAATCCCTGGGCTGCTTAACTGGACTGCGCTCTCTCCGCCTCGAGGAGAACCCCTCTCTCCGAGGTCCTATTCCCGACCAGCTGGCGTCCGGAGTGAATTGCAACGTTCGCGCGGACCAGCCAGTGCTGGACGACACGGAGGCGACCATGCTCGGTTCGAGATTGGACGAGTGGTTTCTGATGCCGCGGAAGGCACGTGGGAAAAGCTGAAAAGCTTAAACTACAGCAAAGGCTGCTAACAGACCTATCACCAACTTCACACTGCGACATTGGTATTTTGGTCTCGGAGGGGAGCAGGATTTGGTTGGTGTTTCCAGAATATATGGCAATGAACCGAGGGATGCCGCGTTGTAGGAAAACGGGATGCCTTAGGAAAGTTGTTGACACTTGGACTTTTCGAAGAACAACCGATCGTGTCACTCACGACCAGGCTCCCTCTCGATTCAGAATGCGTATCTGTTTTCACTTTCATTGTCTTGTGGATGTCTTAACCTTTGCCGGCGCTCCAGCGGGAGACGCTGTTTGTGGGCCCACATCGTTTTGTTACACGATACCTTACGACCTTGGTACTGATGTTGTGCCTGACCTGACCCATGCCTCTCCTCCCTAATCCACCTGTTGCAGGCGTTCCAGAACTTGCAAGATTTTCCGGGCCACACCGCGGTGCGCCCTTGCTTGGTTCGTCATGCGACTACTGTAGTCCCGTATGAATGCCACGTCTTTACTGAAGCGAAGGCACGCAAGGTCGTCGTGCATCGAAAGGAGGTGGCTTTTTTTTCCCACTGCTGGGATCTGCCGCCTAACCAGGTGTGATTAAATGAGCGCAGAGAAAGGTGGGTGTTTGGGGTACTTGGCTACAAGATGCGATCTGCAGAGAATATGTATGTGTGTGGGGGGTATACTGGTGGGGGTTCCAAGTGCGGGGCCCCTCGTGAGAGCCCGCGCATGTGTTCATTGTGTCTGCGAGAGATACTGTGTATGCTGTGCTGGAAGAGCACGTGTGTATTAAGCAAGGCTATATATCATCTGCATGGGTCCTCTGGGCTAACATAGTCCCCAGACAGACATCATACCGTGGGTGGGCACGGTATCCTCCGTTGGTGGTCACGAGGGTATACAAACAGTGGGCATCTCGTGTATCATCGCCGCCACATATTTTACAGTCCCACAAAGCCAAGTCACTCATTCATCTACCCTCGTAAGGTTGTACACCGCACAAGACGTGAACCTTCCTACGCCACTTTACGCCTCTCGCCCCTCGGAAAAATACAGTGCCCGCCGAAACCAAAGCTTCTTGGTGGACCTCACCCGGACACGCCCGATCGCACCAAGCTGCGGCACATGAAAGCTTGCCTAGAGGATGCCCCATCGAGCGTAAAGTACGTCTGGGTAGACATGCTTTGTGTGCCTCTGGCGGACTCACGGAGGCGTAGAGCTGCTGGGCGATCGGTGCCCTTCTTCGTGCAAAAGTGAGGAATGAAACTGGCAATAAAAAAAACAACGAGTGAAAATCCGACAACATTTCCTGTGATGAAGCAAGCGTTGGTTGCAAATGGCAAGGTCTGCGGTCTATATGTCTCGAGGATACATACCGATGAAGAACATGGTACCGGTATGTTCCGGTTTGGCTGTGTGGTGGGGCGCGCACAGGAGACCAAAAGGCGGGGGGTACCACATACTTTCCCCCAAGGTATGAGCTTGGAAGTCGCACCCCTTTCGTTCGACGAGTCCGACTGTGAGTAGTTCACCTCGAGATACCTACTTGACGTGCTTTTGGGTGGCTCCGTCAAAGCCGGGCAATTCTCGTGTACGTTGACACCAAATGATCACATCAATGGCGGTATGTCGACGACACGACCTCAACCATCTTCATAACTATCCAACCCTATGCAGCCTGACGACGAATTACTGGGTAGAATCTAAAGGATTTATATCCCGCTATTTCGCTAATGTGCATATGGACACACGCATGTGTCGTTCATGGCTTTGCGAAAGCTCCGGGAGGTTCTACATCTTAGCCCACGACAGTGCCAGCCTCCAACGCCACAAGAAGCGCGGGTGGTGCCGCCTAGAGGCTCTCTGCGCTGCGTGCCCATACCAGCATTGCCAAGTCGAATCGGCATTCTCCGCGAAGGTAAACTTGTCCGGCCGTGCCTGGGGGTATGCTGCAGGAACAACCTCCCTACTGAATTTGTATGTGTCCTATTTGCTGGATTGAAAGGAGATGGGCTGGTCTGATCTGCTGACAGTGCATAGGGCAACGAAGGCCACGAGAAAATCGCACATCCAATTTTCATAGCCGTCTCACAACACCCCGCACGGCCTTCTCGTTCTCGTGTTCCCGAAGCAGCCTGCACGGAAGTCGGCGACGGCACGATATGTGTACGACGCAATTGAGTGCTACGTGAGCACATGGGACAATGGGGCGAGATACGAGGCACGGATAAAGAATGGTCAAGAACTGGGGGCAGCAGGGTTCCTCGGGAATCCTGTGACGGGTAAGGTAAGGCTAGGCTACGGGCGGTGGGAGCAGCCATCAGTGTCAAACTGCGGTGGGAGCTTGGCTGCGCTTCTAGCCCGGACACGGGCGAGTCTGCGGTGTCCGGAAAATTTCAACTCGGTATCGTTCGGTCCTCCCCTCCTTCCGAACGAGAAATCGCCGTGTTTCCTGTACCGCCCGTTGCTCGAAATAGGCTCTGAAATATCCTCCCACGCTCCCACGCTCCCACCCTCCGTGTCCGCGCAACCGTGAATGTGGAGCATTGAAGATCACGTCCAACGACTGTCGACGTTGCCGAGCCCCCACCCCTTCCAACGTTTCATTTGGTGTCTCAGAACCTAGTGTCGCTCGAAATCTCGTTCTCCACAGTTGAGTGACCCGACGGACCGCCAGTTCATCGCAGAGGCCGCGTTGGGGGCGATCAATGCGATGGAGATGTCCGGCCGAATGGACTCGGAGATGGTCAAGCCGTTGCGATTGACATGCAAAAGGATTCTCTACGGCTCGCAAGGCTGGGAGGGGCAGGGAGAAGACGTACAAAAGGCTCCGTCTCTGGCGTTGGAAGAGTCACGATCAGCTACTGCCGCTAGCAGCATAGGCGGCACCGTCAGCAGCAAAGGGGGGCTAGTTCTCCCCAGAATCGGTACATAGTCGCTGAGTCGAAGTCGGTCTAAGCAGTAGCTTACAGTTGAGACTCGGTCTGTGAACAAAATGATTTTCCGTCAGCTTGTTCCCGAAACGACATCGAAAACAACAGTGGCAACCAAACAAGGCGCGTGATCTCGACCACGCACTGACGAAGTTTGCCTACGGCCCCGACTCCACGCGTAACCAACGTGAACAGCAAGCAGGAGGCTGTTTTCGACAGAGCAGAAAACCTTCGTGATTAACGTCGAGAAGGCAAAGGTGAAAGGGCCGAGGGTCGCAAATAAAAATGATGGGTCTTATCGGCGCGGCGAGTCGACATCCGAACGATGTTGCTTGCAGAACCAGGCACGCGCGACGGTTCGACGCTTGACGAATTTTCGGTTCGATTGAGCATGTGGAATGGAACAACGTGAAAACGTACATTGATGGCGTGACGGACAAGCGTCCACCCCCGTGGTGTGGTCTGAACGTTTGAACAGAATGAATGTCGTTCCCTGAATTCATACACTCCGAAAAAACGAAAACCTGAAAAAGCACCGACGACTGAGGCCTAATCGAAAACCAACCCCACCCATGTCCAATACCCTTGAACAGCAACATCATCAACTTGATGGAAGAAGAGTGCGATGTCGATATCATGTTTCCCGTTCCCATCCATCGACCTCGGAAACACGTGGAAGAGCGAGGAATCCTCCCCTTGCACAACAAAGAACTAAATCCCAAGAGGGCTAAAGGAACAAGCCAGGAAAGACTGCAAGTGAAACATGTTCGCTCTTTCCGCCTACTACAAGGAACAACAGGCACGGCTCTACCCCGATCGCCAGCAGGTGTATCGACGTCCGTCTTCGTCTCGCTCCGGCCAAAAGCTGGCGGCTTCGCCAACGGCGATGATGCGACTCATTTGGGCAAAATCTAGAATCCGCGGGGCGCGTAGGTATTCCCACGCTCTGCTCCATCAGTGGTCATCAGATATCAACAATTGGTCGAGCTCCGCCTTCAGCTGCTCGACTCGCAGGCCACTGCGCGGCACGACGTGCGGGGAGGCAGGGAGTGGCAGCACGTCACGGTGCGTTCGTACGACAACGCAAGCGGGCCGCAGAAAGGCGGCTGGCTGCGATGTTCTCTGCAGACGGAAAGTGAGGGGGGTGTTGCTCGTACACAGTCTCGTGCTGCCAGCACGTAGGCTGCACCAGCGCTAAGACCAGTTCGCACGATGCGTCCGATAAACAAGCTGCAAAAAAACACGGGGTGGAAATGGTCATTGTCCTGCCCCCCCTGAACCAATATCGCCCCCAAGTGAGGCCTTGCCTTTACCCAGATCAACACTGCAGTCTCTAGCATAATTACAGTGCGCGACCAACCGCCAGCCCGAGATACGCCTTGGTCCACCAAACGGTCCAAACACTATTCCCGGCCCCGCACCTTGATCTCATGATTTCTGTTCGCTTCTTCTCGTCCACGGACCTCAGCACCTCCTCGAATAGCGCCACCGCCTCTGGTAAACGGCGGACGAGTTTCCCACGCGCGGAGGAGAGGAGAAATACCCCGGATTTGAAACACGGGGGACGGGAGGGACATCGGAGGGACGAACTGAGGCCGGGCCCTGCGAAATGCAGTGTGCGGAGGGGTGCCTACTTTGCCAAGGTCTCTACTCCTAGCAGGAAGGCAGTATCTACTGATGCGTCGGTAATGCATCGCGTCCACCGCACGGCGGGGCCACAGCATACGCTAGCTCCTTCAGCAAAGAACTCCAGTTTAGTCTCCACCCATGGACTAACGTGCAGCCTCTGGCTGGCGTGTAATATCCATGCTACGTCGTGGAGTAGCCTGTACTCAATCAACGCTGCGCCCTACACAAGGGCCCAGAGGATGCCTCTGCTCGGAAATGCCAACACTAGACATTGACCCCGGGGGAGTCTTGATTCTGCACTTAGCCTGAACCTCAACCTCTTGCAGGTTCTCTCTGTCGTCGGCCGTCAACGACTGAAGTCTCAGCGTGGGGATTGCAAGAGGCTCCTCCTATCGCCCCCTACATGGCCGAATCCGAGCGGGAGTCGACATACGTTTCTGATCTCTCCTCTATCAAAGACTGGATAGTGATTTTCAGAAATTCGGGGTTCTCTACCTTCAACAGCCTCCTTAGCCGCCGCCGCTTCTTCGTCGAAGTAGGTTGTTTCCTTGCTCTCCTCCGCGTATTCCATTTCTTCCCTTGCCTGACCCAACGTGAACGAGACACGCGCAAGGTGGCATGGATGGCATGAGGGACATGAGAAACAATATAGATCATGCAGTGTGTGGTGATATGCATATGACGACCAAGCGGTTGCACACAAATGCTATAGAACCTGCCCAAGATACCACGGAAGGGTTTGGAGTCAAGGGTGAGGAAGCCGCTCGTGTTTCGGCCAAAAATGTCTCATTCCGTTTCTGTCAAGCGCGTTTGTGACAGCGCTTACATACGCAAGTGCGAAGGTCGTAAGCGAGAGTCAACACACGCGACCATCCGACACGGGAACTCGAGCATGAAGTACATGCACACGGCGCCAGGGGCACGGGAAGCTGGGTGTTCCCCGATGCACCAACACACTTTCCGATCTACCGGATGTGACATAAGATACCACACCCCCTGACCATAACTCAAAGCACGGTTGCTCCACACAGCAGCAGAGAGAGAGAGTGGCGTCGCCGAAAATGGCAGCGTTGGAACGGTCTTGTCGAGAAGTTTCCGCAAAACGTACAATTGGTTCACTCTTCACCGTGGAGTAACGTGCTGACACATGGCCAGGGGTGTGTGGTATCTTGCGTACGTCACTGCGGTATGTTTCAAACCTCGCTACCGCAAGCTCACGATTTGCTGCTATGCCTCACGACACGTACTCACGGTGACAAACAGGTCGTTGAATTCGTCCATCTTGCGTCTGAGCTGTTCGTCCGACAACAACGTGGACAGAGCTCGACGTGCTACCACGCCGAGCTCGTGCGACGCAGGTAATCCAAGTCTGCCGGGGCGTGCGCCTGCTGCTGCTGCTGCTGCTGCTGCAGGGGTGCTACCCAATGATGAAGTTCGCAATACGACCGACACGTAGCGCCCGGCGGCGCGAGAGCAAGAGCGGAGCATGCTGCTGTGACCGTCTACCTATCCAACAGTATTCTGTACGAGGCGAGAGAGGCAGCACTCGGCAGCGAAAAGGGGCACTCTGGTGCAGACAGATGAGCGGGTGAGGTGAGGGGAGTTCAATCACACCCCGGAAGGCGGTACGGCGGTTACAGCTGTAGTCGCATTCCGCCACCAAACCACATGTATTGCGCCGTCCAACCAGACCTGGTCGCAGCCAATAACTGACTTGTTCGTCTTTTCAAAATTCACATGCTGTATCTCTTGCCTCCTTTTGATATCTAAAGTTAGGCGTACTGTAGTTTTGTGTAGTGCGGCGCCGATCCCACTCCCCGCCCTCTGCCCTGCTGTGCTGAAATCGTCGTCTAGATCAGCCTGTGTGGTAGACAGAGGGAGTGGGCTGCAATACACAGAAGTTACGCTACGCCGAGGCTTTCGAATGCTCAACTCTAGGAAGGGGAACCTCCCTTGCTTCCAATGGGAGGTAGCGCGCTTTCAGCGAGCCCACCGGGAGAAGATGGCAGCCGTTACTGCACAGACTAACAATCGGCCAACCCCCAAGCAGCAGCTGCGCCGGAAGGATGGATTCCGCAACACCGACGCGAGGAGGCTCAAGGAAGTCGACGTCGAGCGCAGGAACGCTTTCCTCGTGGAGAAAATGGTCCATATTCATCGCACTGGGGGCTTCGAGCGGAGGTACGATCGTCACCATGACAGTTGAGCGTGTGGTATATCCACTACGTACATTTTTTATCACATGATAAACCCACGCAGGGAGATGTAGACAAGACTACTTCAAATAGTATATCAAGCTCTGAACTGTTGTTGCTCGGAACGTTGCTCGGAACGTTTTTTCGAATCTTGGAAACTGGCTCCCTCTTGTATCTACAGTATGCTCCACAGTCTGACATGTTTTTTTTTTTTTGTACTTGTGCGATTCTTCGTTAGACCTATTTCAGTTCATTGGTTCTGGTGAGAATATCCGTGACGACGCTGTAGATCTTTCTACACACGCATGGCTGACTCCTTGTCTTCTCTACACAGTAGAGGTCTCTTGGTATGACGTTTTTTTCTTAGGCGAAGCACGCTGCGGTCGTTCGTCACATGAAGCACTCTGATGCCATATTAATAGTGTAGTACCACTGCGGAGTATAACAACATACAATATATATGTAGTAAACATGCAACGCGGCAAGAAACAGGTAAGCCAGACAAATCGACATCCCAAGCCACAACACTATCAACGTATACGTACCACGGGAAGAAGAGTAGGTCGATTGAAGGAATGAATGTGCCCATTCCTGCATATATATACCCAACCCCAGCCACCCCATGTGCGCGTGTGGATTTTCGAGGGATGTTCTCGGTGTGGTTTTTTCGACGATGCGTTGTGGTGAAATTTCGAGACAAAATAATCCGTACCGCTCCGCGCTGCTGTCTACCTGGTACTGATTTGTAGGCTAGAAAAGTTCCAAGCAAACCCAACCGCAGGCCATGTTAGTCACTACATTTTTGTGGTGGTCTGTTCGCAACCAGTTCTTGCATCGTTTACCAACGAGCGATATGGTCGATATCGACCACATTCACCACATACACATCCGGGCGCTGTGGCATCCTCCCTCCCCTTCTGCCCCGCCAATTTTCACTCACAAGTAGCGAAGGTAGGGCCGTGTGTTCATTTTTCATTATCGTCGCAAAATCTGTTGTTGTCGGTGGACAAGTGGTCAGCTCAGATGGAAGGCCCCCGAGTAGTGATAACCGGCACGCAGCAGCACCGTATGTAGAGGTGTTTGTTTGTGGCGCTTGGATATGAGTCCGGTCTGTGCATTCTCTGTGGGGGATACGCGTATGGGTGTGATAGGTAGTACGCGGTTGGGGTCCAAGTACGGTCCCCCCGAGAGAGCACAAGGTGGTGTGCTCCTGGCACTTGCCTGAGGGGGCTTACGTGTAGGATACCATTCGCCTGAGGTAGTGTGACCAGCTTGCCTGAGGGGCTTGCGTGTCGGTTAATAATACATGGTCCTATTCTTCATCTGTTGTTCCTGGGATATCATAGTACCCAGTCTCGACACCAGCCGCTGAGCGCAGCAGAGCGCCCCGAACAGTTTTCTACGACAGACACGTCTACGAAAAACAACGTTGTGACAAGGTAACCGACAACATGAAACTCGATCTATTGGCATCGATGTTCGTGCCGTAATTTTACTATCCATACCTATGTAGGTCTCAACACGAGTATCAAGATTGCAAGGCGGCGTTACAGTTCGGCAAAACGAACGCCGGGATAACACGAGCGGTCCATGAACGAAGGCAAGCACGATCAGTTGTCCACGGCGGGAGGGTTGTCGGGCAGGCCTAGCGATAAGCTCTTTCTGTGCTGATACGTTTACCTTCCGAGCCGTACCGAGAACATCGAGATTTCATGAACGTAGCCGATGACGAGTTATCTCCAATGCAACAAAGAGCGACGTGGTCTGAGTTTATTCATTCAAACATCTCTGAGTCTGTGTGCTTGGCGGACGGTGGCATCACCTGATTGTTTGGTGCAGCAGTTTCATCAGAGGTCGAAACAGAAAGGAGGTTGACTCAATGCCTTCATTGCTTAGAGCGTGACCCACTATATTCAGCCCTTGGGGACCCCGCCCTATGATATACCCAAGAGTCCCCGCCGAATATGTGTCGGTTGCCTTGAAATAAAACACCTGAAGACAAAAAACTGCGTTCTACCGATCAAATCGCAGGGTTTCGCTGAGGAAGAAACAACAGGAGCATATTCGAAGGGAGAACGCGATACTTTTGACACGGCTGGTAAGGTTGATCCACGCATTCACCATTAGGCACAACACAACAGTGCGTGTCGCCGTACGTTGTCGCCAACATACTTAATGCGGTCCAGTACAATGCACCGGTATTGGCCACCTTTCTCATGGCAGACAAAAACGCCATGGCAATTGTAGAGTTCAATGGTCTGCACAACGTACGGAGACAGTTGTATTTGGTGGCATTGCCAAAGACGATCGCGTTGCTGTGACTCATTGTACATCCGCAGGCAAGCCCGAAGCGTACCGCTTTAGACTTCAACAGGTTTGAGGCCGACTTCGCCAAAAGCCGCGAGCACCACCGCCTGGCCCAATGCGACCGCACGGTGGGACACACGGCAGTATTTTCGCATTGCTCAGGGTCTAACGACACCCCCCCCGGCACATCGGCACCTCACCTTCAGTCAGACCATCGGTCAGGACGACCTCGGCCAGCGTCCGCAGGGCTGAGTTTAGGTCGCCAGGCCAAAGTTGGTGTTGGCAAACGTATGAGTGGCACCGGTCAGAACAACAGACAGCGGGGCAACAACAACACGGCTTGTGTCGGGAAAGCCGAGGGTAGTGCGGAAATGCCATCACGCATAGCTCTGCACAGGCCACACTCAGCTTTGGGTTTGCGACGGGGCGACAAGCACCACGACCTTTTCAATGCTCGCGCCGCGGATCCCGGGTGGGGGAGCAACAGGGCAAGCTTGACCTCCCGCCCACCGTCGGCGCCGGAGAGGATTGAATGGGGAAGCTGGGGGGCTGGCACCGACCCCGTTTTCTCTGCTGCCGCCAGAAAAAGAAGACCGCCGCCGTCCCTGCGAAATTGGTCCGGCGGTCGAGGCACGATGGGGTGGGGGCGCCTGTCGAGGAGGCCAGTAGGACCGGCCCACAAAGTACGCCAGCAGGTACATACCAAAGTATCAAGCGATCGCGATGATGGTCACGACGGAGAAAAGGTGTCGGCGGAGGAAAGTACGACAGGTGGATCCCAGTTCGACGAAAGCCGGGGTGGTGGTCGAGGTGGCCGTCTCTCGTCTCTCGGGCACACACTGCTCGTGGAAGCGAAGGTTCTAATTGGCGGTAGAAGAAACGCCGGAACTTCAAACAGCTCTGAAGAAGCAGGAGGAAGTTGCATGAAGGTGAATCTAAGGTTTCTGAGCTTGGATGGGCTCATCAGGTTCCATGAAGGCGTCAGAAAGACTCTCCAAGGATTCGTGGTCGAGGCCACCCTCACCACCCCTCATCGAACCCATAACAAAGGTGGTGTCGCGGCTAAAAGCGACGGCACGGTAGGTGGTAGCAGCGTCGAGGTTGCATCTACATCTGTTGCCGTGCCGATGGTACAAGAATACTTGAAGAACGCAGAAGGAACACCAGCAGCAGGAGATGAGGCTGTAAGGTCGCCCTCAGCTCTTACCTCGTTCCGTGAGGCATGCCCCTTGGACGAGCGGGGGAACTACCCTGAGATCAACGAGCTGTTGGGGCAAGGTGAACAGCGCGATCTTTTTCAAACCCTGCTCGGAAGTTGTCGTGTCATCACACCACCAGCAGGCGGGGCTGACCGCATCATTGGCGTGGAGCTGCTGCAGGTAAACGCCGGGCTCAAGCTTGGGATATCTGTGACTACCGCCGACGCCACGCTTCTCGAGGCAAGAACACATGATCGCCCCAAACCTCCTAGTCCTCAGCCCTCGCATCGACGCCCAGAAGCGACGGAAACGTACGGAAGTAGCTCCTCACCGACCTCTGGCTTGATGGCTGACACTGGACGGTCAACAGCTGGAGGGGTGGTTGGGAGCTCGCCTACCGGGCAACACACTGGGGGTGGTGGGTCTCACGCACGTACACATGGGGACTTTGGCGAAGGTGGCGGTGAAGGCCGTGGGAGGAAGCCGTCTATTCACATACGGATGCCTACGGCGACGCGTCCGCCGAGCACCCCGAGGACGGGCGCCGAAGACGTATCAGAGAGTGGCGGCCGGGAAGAAAACCAGGATGACGGCGACAACGACTACGACGACGAAGATGAAGATGAAGATGGAGATGAATCAGAAAGTTGTTGAGCCGATCGTGGCTCCGCACGAAAGGGACCATCGATACGACGCGTCAGGACGCCCAAGATGGAGTACAAAATAGATATGCCCTCGACCACGATTGTTTGGGGAGTTCGAAGTGCTTCGCGAGTAGTCGGATCCATCCTTGCTAATACCCCTCAATC